AACGAGCAGGGATTTAAAAATGGCGGCGCCCAGTTTATGCAAATGAAGCCCGGGAAATTCAAATCCCGGGCTTCATTTGCAAGTGCGGTATGCCTACATTACCCCGCTAGTTCGAACTAGCGGGGTAGTGTAGACATACCCTTAGAGATAAATAACAGCACAGAACACTGAGAACCAGGACTAGTGGCTGTAAACAGACTTTATGGGACTGTGGTAAACTTGGCCACACTCGTGATAAGTGAACATTCAGCTAACTAAAATCATGCTGGACTACAGATGTTGCCAGAACAGTGAGTTCCAGACTGGAGAGGTTCAATGTGTATATGAAATGATCAAATAACTATGCAGACCACAAATGAAGTGAAAATTCTATTGTTCAGTTCATTCAAGCAAATTCAATGAATTAGTAAAATTACTATATACAACATCTTCAAAGTTGACACTTATTCTCAAAAGAAATAATTAGATTAATCTGAATTGCAATCCCTGTGCACTACAATGTAGACAAACAAACTTAATCTGAATGGTTGCTACTTTGCATTCCTTCATTCACTTATCTAATATCTTGTTAAAGGCAAACTAAAACTTGTTGAGCTTTCAGATGACAGAAGAAGAAAACAGTACATTACCTGGTCAGAGAGTGCTGCAAAATTGAAATGTGGCTCATACATATGAGGTGCTAATGATGATGCAGTCTGCAGCAATGCTCTTGCCTATATAAATTAAAATCAAGATTATATTGAAACATGTGAATGGTGGTAGAGAGAGAGAATGAGGAGAAAATGTGTTTTTTGTCCTGTGAAGACATCATCATTGATTTTTTTTTTTAAACTCTTCCGAAAATGGGATGGGAAGAAGATATGCAAATCTGTGGCAAATTTGCATTCTTTTGAAAGCTGCAGCAGTCTAGATGTGCCCTTTATGTGAATTTCAGAGGACTAAACAGTTAATTATCTAAAGGCTGCAAACTTTCAAAGGTTTAGCTAGTTTTCACTGTTAGTGTTTCACAAAGTACTAATTAAATTAATGGAAAATATTTGGCCCACATGTACAGTATAGACATGTTATACATAGGCATTAAATTTAAAAATGCCAACTTGAAAATAAAATTACAAGCAACTGAAAATGAGGGATTAAGCTGGAAAAGCTTATCTAGCCTTAGTTATAAACAGTACCCACCTCTCTGCTTAATTGGACTACAACTCCATCTACGATATAAATGTATGTATGTTGACTGAATGGGAAACAAAGTAAAACTGAACTTCATCTGTCACAGCAAAGATCAGCACAAAAGTATGTTAAATGTTACCATGGTGATTGCTAGGATACTTGTATAAAGTTAGCTCTGTAAATGACTTGCTGCTTAGGAACAGATTTACATAAGTACTGTATATTATTCTGTAGTGTTAGAGAGAGAGAGAGAGAGAGAGAGAGAGAGTGTGTGTGTGTGTTATAAACCCACCAAACAATGCTGCCTCCAAACATGCATTTGAGTTAAATTTTGCTAACAAGTAAGTAATCTGGCTGGCTTCTCACTCAACTGAAATGTCCTTGAAATCAAAGCAAGTATTTGATAACAAAGCAAGTATTTCACAAAGCTTTAAGAGTTCAGCACCAACCTGCTCAACATGACCCCTTCGCATCTCTAGCACAGCCAAGTTGTTATAAGCCTCTGCGTGGTCATTATTATTGGCTAGGGTCAGCTTGAAACACTGGTAAGCCAAGTTCAGGTCACCTATTCCCTAAAAATATCAACATAGTTTTTCCACTCATCAAAAAGCTTGACAGTAAATTTCAGGTTGCTTGGTTATTCTTTAAAACAAAACAGGATTTTTTTCCGTCTGAATGTACTATTGTTACTTCAAATAAGAATACACCGACAGGAACTTTACACACTACTCAAGTTTTTCTCAATTGCCTTTTGCACCTCTCTCGTATGGGGGCTTTTTATCTAGTACAAATATCAGTACCTCTAGTGTGGGACAGTAAGCTAATTGCTAATGTTTCAATTTTATGATTTAAGCTGATACAATGCAAGGTCCCCGTGAAACTGCCAAACACGGAGGAATAAGTGCATCTTGGCTTTTAAATGTATGAGTTTGTCAAAATGTATGCATTAAGAGTCTTATCCTAATTCCAGTAAAGTCAGCGGAAGCTTTTCCATTGACATAAGTTAGAGCACTGTCAAAAGCTAAATGGCAATTAGAAGTCTACTTCCATGTAGCTAGTTAAATACATTAATGTGTTTGTGATATTCTCCTCTACATGAAAGCATTTTACAATAAACTCTATCAAAACTATAGAAAATTAACATAAATTAGATTATAACTTGATTATAGATTATAACTATAGCTTTAATAGACAATTACTCTTTAAGAAAGCAAGTTGTAACAGAGATGCATCATCTCAGCCACAATACAGGCACTATTCTATGGTCTAATTCTATCACCATAAAAATTGTTAACAAATAACATGTAACAACCTAGTACTTTGTCTAATGGAAAGCAGCTGCAGAGGAAACAAGGGAAGGTCACTCACCTTGTGTAGTAACTGAAGTTCTTCAAGATGTGTCCTCGTGGCTTCTCCACTTAGGTGTGTCAGTGCCGCTGTGCACACGGTGCAGAGATCTTTGGTAGCAATCCCCCAGCTGCCGGCACATGTTATAATATTGAGCAATCACTTAGGCTGACAGTTAGGCATGTGCTGGCGGCCATTCCCTCTGTTCCTTCTCTACACTGGATTCTCTTAGCCCATAGCAGAGGGGAAGAGGGAGGGGATGGAGCGGTATGGAGCACCAATGGGGACACATCTCAAAGAACTTCAGTTACTGTACAAGGTGAGTAACCTTCCCTTTTTCTTCAGGGGTCCCCATGGGTGCTCCACTTAGGTGACTACTCAGCCGTGTTCCTGCTTGGCAATGGGCATTCTGTGATGCAGGACTGGATGTTGGACAGTATTGTACGTCCAAATCTAGTGTCTGTGTTCTGAAAGATCTGAACTGCGTAATGTGCAAAGATATTGGCTGAAGCCCATGTTGCCGCTCTGCAGATAATGTCTATGGGTAGACCGTTAAGGAAAGCAGTTGTGGTAGATACTGATCTGGTGGAGTGTACCCGTATGACTGTCGGTGGCTGTCTTTGTTTCTGGGAGTATGCCAATTGTATGCATGAGAGATCCATTTGGATATTTGCTATTTGGAAAATGGTTGACCTCTGGACCTCTCCATGCATGACACAAATAGTCTGGGTGTGCATTGGAAGTCTTTTGTGCGTTCCAGGTAAAAGGCTAAAGCCCTGCGTACATCCAATGTATGTAGCACTGCCTGGTTGTTGTCCTCATGTGGTTTGGGACTACAAATATGGATGCGGCCATGTGTTTGAATATTTGCAGGCATGTATGTGTGGACAACTCTCTACCGACATGATCAAGTCACGTATTCTCAACCATCTGTGAATAAGCAGTGAGGCTATACCCCGGGTGCAGTCCAACTGTGCTCCTATAAACTCCAGTATTTGTGTAGGAGTAAGGATACATTAGTCCAAGTTCAATAGGAGCCTGAGCGTGACGAATAATGATCTTCTTGACTCCAATGCTAGCTCCGTGTCCCCATATGTGGGTGTCATGATCAAACAGTCACCTAGATAGGGAAATATGTTTATTTGGTTTCTTCGTAGGTATGTGGCTACCAGGGTGAGGACCTTGGAGAATACTCCGGGTGCTCTCGACAGACCGAACGGGAGCACCCTGTACTGATAATGTGAGTTTTTGATGATGAAACTGAGGAATCGTCTATGTGCCAGGTGAATTGATACCTGGAAATATGTGTCCTTGAAGTCGAGGGTAGATAGACATGCTCCTCTCTCTAAGGCAGGTATGATCTTTGCCAACATAATCATCTTGAACCGCTGATACTTGATGAACTGGTTGAGACCACGAAGATCTAGGATGGGCCTGCACCCTTCCTCCCCCGATTTCTTGACAGTTAGGAAGTATTGGGAATAAAATCCCCTGCCTCTGTATAGGCTGGGTACTTCCTCTATAGCGCCTAGCTTTAGGAGGCATTGTGCCTCTTCCAGGAGAACACTCTTGTGAGAAGGGAACCTGAAGAGGGACAGGGAAGGGGGGTGGGTTGGTGGAACTGCTGTGAATGGTATGCAGTAACCCGTTTGTATTATTTCTAGGACCCATTCCTCTGAGGTGATGGTTTTCCATGCTGGATAGAATTCAATTATCTGTTTCCCTAATTCTGCCTGCCCTGGAGGATTGGGGGCTATCGTACCCTCGACCAACGCCTCAAATATGCTGATGGGAGTTGGACCCCTGGGTTGATGTTTGCTCCTTTGGTTGTCTTCATCTGATTTGTCTCATATGTCTCTTGTTCTCATAGAGCCTTTGCTGTTATGTATACCCTGATGTATATACTACTGTCAGGGTCGTCAAATATTGGAATAAATTGCCAAAGGAGGTGGTGGAATCTCCCTCTCTGGAGATATTTAAGAACAGGTTAGATAGACATCTGTCAGGGATAGTGTAGACGGAGCTTGATCCTGCCTTGAGGGCGGGGGGCTGGACTCGATGACCTCTCGAGGTCCCTTCCAGTCCTATTATTCTATGATTCTATGATTCTATGTTCTGAACCTTTGATTATATTGTTTGTATTGTTTTCTCTTGGTTCTAGGCATCTGAATTCCCAGTGCATAGCATTGCCCTGGAGTCCTTTGGGGTGTGGAGAGATGAGTTTATTGCCTTGGCAAAGAGCTTCTCTCCCTTGCATGGAAGGTCTTTCATGTTCGATTGGGCCTCCTTGGGGAGCCTGGACAGTAGCAGCCATGCTGTTCTCCTCAGCATCACTATGGATGCCATGGATCTGGCTGCTGTATCTGCTGCATCCAATACTGCTTGTAATGCTGTGCAAGAGATTAGAGAACCTTCCATCACATTTTATTCAGATTGTTCCTTTATGTGTTCTGGTACGTACTGAATAAGGCTATGTCTAGACTACACTGAAGTTTCGAAAGAGGATATGCAAATTCCGCGGGATATCTTCTTCTGATCTCACTTTTGAGAGCAGAGCTTTCAAAAATGAAAGTAGTCAGGATGTGGTTTTTTCGGCAACCTCCCCCCCGTTTTCAAAAAACAGCGTAAACCTAATTTAGCGGAATTTGCATATCCTCTTTTGAAACTTCAGCGTAGTCTAGACAAGCCCTAAAGGAATTGAAGGCTTTGAATGTCTGGGGTGAATACTTTGCCAACAGCACTATGTAATTGGCAATTCTTAATTGGAGGGAGTCTGATGAATAGGTCTACTTCCCCATAGCATCCATCCTCTTTACTTCTTTGTCAGGATTCTGTGTTCTGGGTACTGGTGTTGCTTCGCCCTCTGGTTAGCTGCCTCGACTACCAGTGAATTTGGGGGAGGGTGTGAATAGGAATTCTACCCCAATAGGTGCTACATAGTACTTCTGATTCAGCTTCTTTGACGTGACCAATGCCAGTGTTTTCCATATGGACTTAGCCGGGTCCATCAGAGCCTCATTCATCGGCAGAACCAGTTTGATATGTTAGGGTAAGCTGAGTATACTCAGAAGCTTATGCTTGTTTTGCGTCACGTCGCGGAGCTGTATGTCAAGAGTGTCTGCTACCCTGCGGAACAGTTCTTGAAACCTTCTAAAGTCGTCCCCTCTAATTGGTGATGTGGATGGACTATGCATGTCCATCGTGGAGCACGATGTATTAGGAGGAATAAGTGAATCTTGAGTTGCCTCCTCCATAGATGACTCGCTGTCATGGTTGTCTGGGCTGTAGCGTTGCCCAGACAACACTGGAGGTGGGGGGGGGGCAGTTAAATGAGGCTGCACGTCAGCCACAGTATTGTCCATAAAGAGGATTCTCCTCTGTAAATCTCTCACCCTTTTAGATCTGGGAGTGAGTTTCTGGCAGTGGCTTACTGGGTGGTCCTGCCCTAGGCTGTGCAAACACAGTTCATGCCAGTCTGCTGCCGAGATAAATATCCTGCACCCTGTGCACCTTTTGAAGCCAGAAGGTGCTGGCATGATAGGGTTTTGCTGCTTGAGGTGCCATGGGTAAGCGGGATGCGGGGTGGCGCTGCACCATGCTCCACTTGTTCTTTATCTTCTGTGCATTTATCTATGTCAAACAGTTCAAGCTCTTATTTTCTTCTTTTTTTTTTTTGCTAAAAGTTTTTAAGGGAGACTGTTCTACTTGCGACTGATGCTGGAGGCGGTTGAGAAGGAACTGAGGGAATGGCCGCTGGCACGTGCCTAACTGTCAGCCTAAGTGATTGCGCAATAGCGCAGCATGCACCAGTGGTCGGGGGACTGCTACCAAAGATCAGTGGTGCTGACACACCTAAGTGGAGCACCCACAGGGACCCTGGAAGAAGAACTTGGAATGTGCTATCTTATCTAACACCTTCTGCAACACAAGAAGTTCCACCAAGGTTCTGATGGAGAGTCTGTCAGCAAAATGTGATAGCACGCCACACTGGAAGAATGAAAAGTATTCCTTTCCCTGGGGTTTCATCCTTTTCTGAACTGATAGTAAACCATCAACCCAACTAAATATGTGCTGTGTTTCATTCTATAGTATCAGACTTCCATTCTGTATATTTTTCACAAGCGGCCTTTTGGTCTATCATACCAGTTTCTTTTGTTTCAGCATTTTTGTTTTTTCATTCAGTAAACTCATCATATTTTTCAAAGAAATATTTTTTTTTCATACCACAGCCACATGTCCCAAGTTATACCAAACATCTGCTGCTTCCTCCTCATTTTCAGCCAAAGAAAGTGCACGTTCAAGGGAGGTTAGTGTCATATCATACTGCTGGGCATAGAAGCAACAGAGGCCCAGATTGTTAAATAGTTGACAGTTATAAACACCCATCTGCAGAAGACGTCTAGTTCAAGAGAAAGATAAGTAAACATTTTTAGATTTATTGCAAGTATGACTTTATTTCTAAATGGGAAAATTTCCCTCCACCCAACAGGATTAGGGGTGACTAAGTACATTACATAACAATAATATGATATGAAAGAAGTACAAGTGAGCTTAAAGTAAATGTGAATTTTAAAAGTAAAAACCACAGATAATCTTGTGCAATGACTATCCTGTTTGGCAAAAACGAGCTAAAAGCCTAAGCTAGAGACAATAGACCCAGACTATTTCTATCTGTAGAATCAGCGCTATGCAAAACGTTGTGTGTGTAAAAACGTTCACACTTTGGCTTTTCAGATGTGCCACTACTTTTGATTTTACTCATATCAGCGTTGGATATATCCCTCATCACCCAATCTTAACAAAGTTGTAAATAGTTGCTATCACTTTTTATTATCATGCTTCATATTTAAATTATTTTGTCCTGACCCTTGGCTTTCAGCAAAAATCAAATGAGAGCTTATCTAACTTTTAATTAGACTTATATAGTATGCATATTAAATGCTGCACATTAACTTTTAACAAAAATGGAAAGAAGTATATGTTAAAAAGAAGCTGTTTTATAAAAGAGTTCTACTTTAATAAGGTTTAAAAGGAAAAATACACTATGACCACATCTTGGAATGAATGTAGCCGCTTTACACAATGTCACAGGTAAATTCTGGACCTAATGCCAACATAGCCAATCACAGGAGGATCATCAGAATGTAGGGAGGTCTTCAGGTGACACAGAACTAGCATAGATGCTATAGCCCATAGAGCTATTTTATTCTTTTATTTTATTCAGAAGGAACACATAGGCACATAAGGAACCTACAAGCTTGTATCCTGTTAGACACTGGGGTTAGGCAAGTTAGCAGAAGCATAGTATGCCTGTGATATAAAATGTCCCGACAGTTACCCAAGTTTTTGAGGAATTGGAAATAACTTGCTCAATAGAGGGAGCTGGTAAATAATGGTACCAAGTATCTGCAGGAGTACTGAACTGGTACTGGGCTTGGATATTTTGGGATAGAATCATTGGCAGATGTCTAACTACCAACTTGCCTGAGCAATAGGTGACTATGTGATGAGTTAAATGGCATTAATATGTTAACCTATAGGATAAGTGCATTCCTAATATTATGAGAATGAAAATGTTAGATTTGGACATAAAAGACTATGCTTCACAATGAATATTTGCGATGTCAGGCTCTGTAACAGGCCAAGTCACTTTGTAGTGGGGGCTAGCTTTCTATTGTTGACCCTTCAGCTCTTCTTTGTTATTTGCCATTAAATATGGGACCCTGGAAAATTTTGGACTATCAGACTTATTTGGTATGCCAGAGGCAGGGCTAATCCTTTGTCCCTCATTGTTAGGTCTCCAATATATGAGCATATACAAGAATGACACCAAAGATATTTCTAATACTGTATCACTCCATCTGTTTGTGGTTTTGAGCTTTTCAGTCTTTACTATCATTGTTTTAATAAAAATAAAACAGTGAAAGATTTGCTTTGCCTTCAACATAAATGTTAAATGTCTTTGTCATACACCCCAAGATTTCCTACAAGACATTCAACTAATCAGTTTTAATTCTGTGGAGCCTGATTCTGGGATGAAAACCATATTACCCCGGCTCATTAATTAGTAATTAATTAATACAATTATTGTTAACCGTTAAAAAGGATCAAGTTACAAAGTGCATATTTAGTCCTTCCCTAATATTGGTGTAGGAGCTTAGGGTACGTCTAAACTACATGCCTCCGTCGACGGAGGCATGTAGATTAGCCAGATCGGCAGAGGGAAATGAAGCCGCGATTAAAATAATCGCGGCTTCATTTCCCTCTGCCGATCTGGCTAATCTACATGCCTCCGTCGACGGAGGCATGTAGATTAGCCAGATCGGCAGAGGGAAATGAAGCCGCGATTAAAATAATCGCGGCTTCATTTCCCTCTGCCGATCTGGCTAATCTACATGCCTCCGTCGACGGAGGCATGTAGATTAGCCAGATCGGCAGAGGGAAATGAAGCCGCGATTAAAATAATCGCGGCTTCATTTCCCTCTGCCGATCTGGCTAATCTACATGCCTCCGTCGACGGCGGCATGTAGTCTAGACACACCCTTATTGACACATTAATGATCCTTAGATGCTTAGATTGGTAGCATCTGGCAGAGTTTACAGCAGTCTTAAAATTGCTGAAGTTAAAATTAGGGAAACCCTGACACACAGTCAACCTAGGAACAGGGGAACACATGGTTGCAAGCACACCTGTTGCCAAGGATGTGGGCTATGGAGTTTTTCAAAAGGTTTTTTAGTGGCTTAATTCTTCAAGGTGGAGTATGCCTCCTGCTTGCAAAATGAAGTTGAAAATCAGATCCTCTTGAACCCTCTCTTCATTCATTAATCTGGTAGCAACCATTTTGATGTAATTTTTATTTTAACCGTCATCCTGCATATTAATTGCTTAAATATAATTATCATAGTATAGGTATAGAAGATACTAGAGCTGGTGACATAATAGACAATATTTCTCCATTTGCTTAGACATGTCACCCAGCAAATTCCTTGGCACTATCAAAGTTGCAAAAATCTCTCTCTTTAACTTTACCCTTACTTACACGCACCTGTAAAACCGCAGAGCTATCTCAGGTTGGTCTGAATAAAAGTGGTTACTGCCAATACATGCAATGGCTTCCACATGAGTGTTATCTTGTTTTAGGACTTCTCTGTAGTATTCTGCAGCTAAGGGGATGTTATTCATTTCCTGCACATCAAAAACAGAAAAAAATAAAGTACAAATATTTTGCAAGCTGTAGTAATCTTGCTGTTTATCACTTTATTAAACTCTCAAAATGCCATAAATGTACACAGTGCTTTACAGGGCATTGGTAAGGAGCTAGCAACCTAACAGCACATGTATACTGCAGATGGGAGCATGCTTTCCAGTGAAGGCAGACAGACATGAGTTGATTTTGCTATTTTTAGCACACTAGCTCAAACAGTGTAGCTGGAAGTAGCATTGGTGGCAACCTGAATACAAACCTGCCTGGACCAGTTGGATATGAGCTCTGATAGCTACCCTAAGCCACTCCCCATGATGTCTCTGATCACGCTGTTATTTCTAAGTGCACTAATAACTTGAGCAAAGTTAGGATCTCTCTGTCTACTCATGCTGGGAAGCATGGTCCCACTGTAGACATATCAACAAACAAGAAGGGTTTATTATACCTAGAGTTTAGTAAGGCATTTGATATGGTCTCGCATTATATTCTTGATAAACTAGGCAAATATAACTTAGATAGGGCCACGATAAGGTGGGTGCATAATTGGTTGGATAACCGTAGTCAGAGAGTTGTTGTTAATGGTGCTAGATATTGCGGATGATACCAAACTGGGTGGGGTTGCAACTTCTTTGGAGGATAGGGACATAATTCAAAATGACCTTAGCAAGTTAGAGAAATGGTCAGAGGTAAACAGGATGAGGTTTAATAAGGAGAAATGCAGAGTGCTCCACTTAGGAAGGAACAATCAGTTCCATACATACAAGATGGGAAGCGACTGTCTAGGAAGGAGCATGGCGGAAAGGGATCTAGGGGTCATAGTGGACCACAAGTTGAATATGAGTCAACAGTGTGATGCTGTTGCAAAAAAAGCAAATATGATTCTAGGTTGTATCAACAGGTGTGTTGTAAGCAAAACTCGTGAAGTCATTCTGCCGCTCTACTCTGTACTAGTTAGGCCTCAGCTGGAGTACTGTGTCCAGTTCTGGGTGCCACATTTCAAGAAAGATGTGGAGAAATTGGAAAGGGTACAGAGAAGAGCGACAAGAATGATTAAAGGTCTAGAGAGCATGACCTATGAAGCCAGGCTTCATGAACTGGGCTTGTTTAGTTTGGAAAAACGAAGATTAAGGGGGGACATGATAGTGGTTTTCAAATATCTAAAAGGGTGTCACAAGGAGGAAGGCGAAAATTTGTTCCTCTTGGTTTCTGAGGACAGGACAAGGAGTAATGGGCTTAAAGTGCAGCAGGGGAGGTTTAGATTGGACATTAGGAAAAAATTCCTAACTGTCAGGGTGGTCAAATATTGGAATAAATTGCCAAGGGAGGTGGTGGACTCTCCCTCTCTGGAGATATTTAAGAACAGGTTAGATAGACATCTGTCAGGGATGGTGTAGACGGAGCTTGGTCCTGCCTTGAGGGCGGGGGGCTGGACTCGATGACCTCTCAAGGTCCCTTCCAATCCTATGATTCTATGATTACGATTCTCTGAACATACAGTACAATTCACTTATTATCCTCTTAATAAACTACATGCCCATTTAATTGAGAAGAAACCCAAAGAACAGAGTTAGTGCAGAACATTTTACTTATTTTAAACCATGGATTAACAACACACATTTAGGACAAGTACACTTACGAAGGCACACACGATGTTTTCATAGAATCATAGAATACTAGGACTGAAAGGGATCTCGAGAGGTCATCGAGTCCAGTCCCCTATCCCCATGGCAGGACCAAATACTGCTAGACCATCCCTGATAGACATTTATCTAACCTACTCTTAAATATCTCCAGAGATGGGGATTCCACAACCTCGCTGGGTAATTTATTCCAGTGTTTGACTACCCTGACAGTTAGGAACTTTTTCCTAATGTCCAACCTAAACCTCCCTTGCTGCAGTTTGAGCCCATTGCTTCTTGTTCTATCATCAGAGGCCAAGATGAACAAGTTTTCTTCTTCCTCCTTATGACACCCTTTTAGATACCTGAAAACAGCTATCATGTCCCTCCTCAGTCTTCTCTTTTCTAAACTAAACAAACCCAGTTCTTTCAGCCTTCCCTCATAGGTCATGTTCTCTAGACCTTTAATCATTCTTGTTGCTCTTCTCTGGACCCTCTCCAATTTCTCCACATCTTTCTAAACCCTATTCACAATAGCTACAAATATGCAAATAGATGTTTGCTGATATTTATCCTATGCTATGGAATGTACAATAGTTCCCCAAAAATTCAAGTATAATTCCAGACAGTTATTCAGACTTTCAGAACAATTCTTTAAAGATTACTAGGGGCTGCGCCCCCTGTTTGCTATGTTCACCAAACCCCCTCTTGCTGCCTGCTTTTGCATCCTGAGAGCCTGTTAATCTTTCACTGAGCTCAGCAGCGTTCTCCCTGACCCTAAGTCACTCACACCCTTCTCCACGGGCCCCTTTATCCAAACACTCTTAGCTCATCCCGCCTACTCGTGCTCTTCCATTGCGAGCCAGTCCCCTCTGCCTGCACCCCTCCTGCTCCTGCACCACCCGCCAATAAAATAGTTCATTCGCGTGCACAGTTTGGAGCCTCTCCTGTCAGCTAGCACAGGGCTACAGAGAAGTGACCTGTCAGGAAGGGCTATGTTCTGTGGGCCTCATGTGTAAATGAAAACCAAACACAATCAGTAAAACGGGGCCCAACTCCAAATGAATCCCCTTCAAGTGCTCCTAGGCACGCAGCTCGTTAGCAAGGAGCAGGGGCTGGGTTACATGTGAGCAGCCAGATAGGGAGATAACCTGCACCCGGTTACTGACCGTCTTTGCAGGGTGGCAGCGCTCCAGATGTGCCCTGCCAGCTGGCAAGTGAGCTCCCACTGCAGGGCTGGGACATGCGCCATATGGACAGGGCGCAATGGAGAAACGTGGAACCATGGGGATGCCGCCAGCTTTATGTGCCCACGCCCTACTGAGAACCCAATTTGGGTCACATGGGAAGAGAACCCAGTGGGGTAATCTGGACCGTTAGTCTTTAACCCAAAGCTTCATGACCCACAGACCACCCCCCTTCTTCCATTCCTACCCCTATTTCCAGTCTCCATTCCTACACTCACCCATTCTCCCCCACCCCACACTGCCCTTCCCCTGCCTCCATTCCTATGTCCCTTCACCCCACCATCCCACCTTACCTCACCACCTATTCCCACATATACCATATCCCCCTTCCGTCCTCCCATGAATGGGCAACCTAACCAGTGAAGATATGGTATTAGGCCCGTATGCAGGAATTTCAAGGGTGTGTGTGTGTTTGTGTGCTTTTTTGGGGGGTAAATGTGGACCACAATTTTTTTTGTAAACACGGACTGCAATTTTTTTTCAAATATAAAAGAGTTCAAAATAGTCATGCAATGAGTGTGCATAAGAGAGGTTAATGAAAAATGTGAGTGGTGACAACAAAGAAAGTTAGTCTGAATTTGTAAACTCAAGCAGACCCTGGCCCCTACGTGTAAAGATGGGATGGAGAAGGAGGGCTGCTGTGGGTACTGTGACAGCAGGATCTGGGCAGCTGCCTGGAGAGAGGGGGCAGCAAAGGTGGCATTGCTGGGGCACTGTGAAACAGCAAAGGCGGATCTCTGTGGGCAGAGGAAATGAAAAGGAGGAGAGAAGGAGGCTGGAGGAAGGGACAGAGAGTGGGGATGCCTTTGGGATGCCAGGTTGAGAAGGGAGGATAGGAGTCTGTGAGATGAAAAGAGAGGGGCTGAGGACATAGAAGATAGAAAGAGGGTCTGGGGGCCATGCAGTGAAGGGGTCTCCGGGCGCCACCATAAAAAGGCAGGCACCCCCTCCTTGGCTAACCTGTCTCCGCTTGGCCATGTGGGCAGTTGCTCCGAATGCTGCGGGGCCTCCCCTTTGTGAGGCCTTAATGGTTGCTGGGCTACGGTGGTGTGTTCCACTGGGGTGGCTCGGTGCTGGGCTCAGGACATGGCCAGTTGAGAACAGTGGAGGATGGTGTGATTGGGGACATGGGGAACCTTGCCCTGCACCTGGCGCTGCTCCTGAGCCTGCTGGCCCAGCAGCCTGTGAGCACCAAGAATGGGAGTGATGTTGCCCTGGAGCAAGTTGTGGTGGAGCTGACAGAGCTGGGTGAGGAGAGGGGCCGGGCCAACTCTCCCCTCACACTTATTTGGGGGACAATGGCACTGGAGCTTGAGATGTTAAAATTTGATTAATTAACTTATTGAATAGTTGATGGAATTTCCATCAACTATTTGATCAGTCGATAAGGGTGCTTCCACTTTGAAATGTAGCAAGAGCTGCTGGGCTGTTTGTACATTTCAAAAGCAGAATGCTACACGGCATTTTCACCTTCGAAATGTAGCAAGACTAAAATGCTGCGTGGCGCCTGGAGCCAGCAGGAGATTCTGAGTCCCCTGCTGGCCGTAGGCTCCATTCAATGCTTCCACTTTGAAATGTACAAGTGCCACAGTGGGGACTCTTGTACATTTCAAAAGTGGAATGCCACCACTGTGCCCCTACCTCCTCCCACAGAGCTGGAGCTGGGGGGAACTGGCTTTTAAGCCAGCTCCCCTAAGCACTCCCTCCTCTTTCCCCCCCTTTGCTTCCTCTTTTTGATAGAGGCAGCAAGGTGGGGTGAACTGACTAGTCGACTAGTGTGTCGACTCTCCAATAAGCTTTTGCTTATCAGATAGTCAACATGTTGATTAATTGCTTACATCCCTAACTGGAGCTGGACTTGGGCAGCGGGAGCCAGCTGGGCCACTCTAGCTGAGGAGTGGGGCACAGGGGCCAGCCAGTGTGTGGCCAGCAGCTGCTGCTGCTGTGTGCATGTCTCCTCCAGCCCAGAGTGTGACCCAAGAGCCTATGTACCTGCACACGTGCCCCAGGGCACCAGGCAAAGGAGACCCAGGCCTCTTGGGTCAGTGCTGCCAGGCACCTCCTTGCCCGCTTTGAAGAAGCACCGCTTACTGCTGAAGACACCCTTAGTGGTTCCCTTGCTTGCTGTTCCCTCAGCAAGCCTGGGGCTGCATTACAGAGCTGAGGGGCAACTGGAAGCCTGCCTCCATTCCTGGTACAAGTGGATCTCCCCCTGGGCCGGGGGACAGGCTGCCTGAAAGGAGGGGGCCAGAGCTGAGCAGGTAGGACCCTTGGGAGGCAGAATCTGCAAAGACAAGACTGCCAGGCAGCTTTGCCAGTCCCTGAACAGTGTCCAATGCAGGGAGCCCCTGCGAGGGTGGGGCCTGTCGACACAGATGACGTGATGATGTCACTGTCATTGCAGGAAATTTTTTGTATATATTTGGAGAGAGATAGTCCAACCAATTCATGAATTAAATGAGCAACAAGTATAACTATGAGCTTCTAAAAACTGGAATTATGGAATAATTTAGCAAGTTTATTTTCTTGAGGAAGTGCTAATTAAAATCATATTGTATCAAAAAATACACCTGGATGTATGGTATTTGGATGGAGAAGTGGGATAGACTTTTTTGCTTGTAACAACTCGACCTATCACCCATGTACTTTGAGGGGTTACTGTTACCAGAGAAACAACCTCTCACAGAATATGTTGTAGTAATATGAGTCTGAAACATAAGTCCACGTATTACAGGCTAGGTATGAGACCTGAGGCCTAGAGAGCAATAGTCAAGACTTTGCTAATATAAAGCAAAGTTAAGCTGTGAGTAATAGGCGGGCCCTGCTCACAGAAATTGGCAAGAACAAGGCTGGTATTTCAGAAATACTCATACCTAAGAGATGCTAGATACAGGCTATAAGCACATTCCAGAGGGGTTGCAACAGAACACCTCATTAAGAAACATCTTGGTACCAGCACACATCCCACAAATAACATACATACCGACCCAGTTTCAGGACCAGGTCTAAATTGACAGCATGATGAATAGTAATGGAGACCCTGCTTCTGTGAGCTAAGGGGTGGTAACTAGCTAACAGAGGGTGGCAACCTGATACGTCAGGAGTGATGTGTAACTTGTTTGTACCTGCGTATAAAAGTGTATCCCAAAGGGTGATCATTGGCTGACCAATGGGAGACACTAGAATCCAGAGAGTTTAGTTGGGTGTTAGTCCATTGTCACAACTTACATAGGTGCAGTGGCAAGTCTGTTTGCTGACAACTATTATTGTATGTTGCTTGGCAATAAATCTACTTGGGTGTTTTTTATCCTTATCTGATTTGTGGTCTCTAGGGTCTCTCTCAGGAGTCTGTCATGTTAACTAATTGCACACTATACAGGGGAGCTCATGTGTGCGTTTATACAGCCAACAGCTTATCATCATTGATGGAGTAGAGGAGCTGTCAGGAACCCATCCAAACGACCCCGCCTGACTGGCAACAGATGTGTGAGTATACAAAACTCAAAAGATTATTCAAAAAGTGTTTTTATTGGTTTAGAGAGCAGTTTGTTCCTCTACCCTATTGCTCAGTAAAGCATCCTGCTAAAATCCTAGGCTATGTCTAGACTACAAGCCTCTTTCGAAAGAGAGCGTCTAGACTGCACGCGGAACTTTCGAAAAAGCAAGCCGCTTTTTCGAAAGAAAGCAGCAAGTGAGTCTGGATGCTCTCTTTCTAAAAAGCCCTGTTTGCTTTCAAGAATGCCTTTTTTCGAAAGAGCACTTTCGAAAAAAGGCGTTTTCCTCGTGCAATGAGGTTTACCACCGTCGAAAGAAAAGCCGCGTTCTTTCGATTTAATTTCGAAAGAACGCGTCTGCAGTCTAGACGCAGGTGAAGTTTTTTCAAAAAAAGGCTACTTTTTTTGAAAAAACCCCTGAGTCTGGACACAGCCCTACAGTGTATCCTACTATCACGCTGAGCAACTTAATTGAAGATAGAACAGGTTTTAATTTGACTATCACACAACAAAACTGTAGAAAATTAACCTATGCAAACTTACATTTCACTTAAACAAGGAAAGAATACTATGATCATTTAAAAACCTGGAACAGATGGAAAGTGGCAGCCCTTCTCTTTTTCTAATGCCTACGGAAAAAGTGACAATAAAGATGCCTGGTACATATGTCCCTCCAGGGAAGTACAAAGAGAGCTGAATGGTTGTATGCCATGGTACGAATCTTTGTTAATTAAGCTATAAATCTGTAGTCATGTGACACCCCAAGGCCCATCAGTACAGAAGTAGCATATTTCTATAACAATGGTGCAGAGAAATACCTAATACAGACTGCAGCACAGAAATTCATAAAAAGGCTGCATAATGTTAACATGTCTACAGCAGGGATCAGCAACATTTCAGAAATGGCATGCCAAGTTTTAACTTATTCACTTCTATTTAAAGATCTGTGTGCCAGGGGACGGGGAGATTAAGAAGGGACAGGGGCAGGTTGGGTACAGTGACCATATGTTCTGAACCAGCTGCAGCTAGGGAGAATAGTTTAATTTAAATCATTAAACATATTAAGAGTTTTAACTTTCTCATGTAAGTTTATCAAACTTCATTTTAAATAAAGTAAAATATTAATTTATGTCCAACCCAAAAGGGTTCAATGTTTTCTTTATTTATGGAAGGATGGAGAAGCTTTCTTGGGTCAGGGGCCACTGACCTGCAGAAAAATCAGTTGACGACCACACAAGTGAGAAGCAAAAAAACCCCACACCCTCCCCCCCATTCCTCAAAAAAATCCCAAAGATCCCCTGAGACTCTGAGGTAGGGACAAAAATGAGGGGTTCAGTGTGCGAGACAGGGCTGCCAGTGAGTGGGGTGCAGGATCTGGGGGGGAGATGGGCCACAGAAGGGGGAGAGGTTGGGAGGTCTGGGTGGGAAGTAGGATGCAAAAGCAGGCTGGGAGTAGGGTGTCTGGCCAGGTGGAGGGAGCAGGAGCAAGGGAGGGTGCAGTGTGGCCAAGAGGGAGGCTGCGGGAGCAGGATGGGGGTAGGATATCTGACCAGGAGGGAAGGTGCAGGAGCAAGGGAGAGTGTTGGAGCAAGCTGGGGGTGCAGAGTCTTGGCAGGGGGAGTATGGATATTAGACAAAAATGGATATTTTTTATATTTCTTTATATTTGGAAAATTTGTTACTATTTCAGTGCTTAAGGCAAACTACAATATAAAACATAATTCGCTGTTTAATGACTGCATTTCTTAAATGCAAAATAAAATTAGTCTACAATGAAACCACTGTTCTATTTTAAAACACTGCTAGTTCCATTTAAAACAAACACGACCTAGGCTATGACATATTTTAACTTTACTAACTCACAGTGACTTACAATACTAATGAAGGCAGCATTGATCTGTACACTAACCTGCTGTTTAATGCTGTTACCAGACTGTTTAAGACACCAGCACTTATTTCTTCTCTTTTAGACCAATGAAAAATGTATGAACCAACCATAGATTTACATGGACAAAAGCTGGAAATGCAACACTTGATTTAATGTAAATTTGTTTATGTATATTTAAATGAGGAAAGACATGATCAATTTGGTATCGTTAACCAGATGAAAAAAAAAGGCTGCAAGACTTTCTTTATTTTGGTAGACTTTCTGTATTATTACCTGTTTTGCATTAGTAATACTTGAAAATAATGTGGTGAATTGCTGATGACCTTACAAGTATATTGAACCTCTGGCTCTTTTTCTTGTTTAAGCAGATAACCTTGTTTGCATTAGGGGTAGTGTAGTACATACATACCTCATAGATTCTGGCAATCCCACAAAGAAGGGTCACTTCTCCCGGAAATCGATCTAATCCTTGCTTGAAAAGATGTAAAGCTGTCAATGGCTGATCCAACCGAAAATACACCTGAGTAAAGAGAAAGTGTATATAAATGTCAAATATTGATTTTCATGATCAGACAGCTGTGTGACAAAAGAAATGCTACCTGCTGAGATGGGAGAAACAACAATATATATATTCTTCTTTTGCCATAGAATCCATTATCTCAAATAGGAGTCATATGAGCATCAATAGGAATATCCTTGCAGTGATGCTAAAATGTGACAGACTTCATTATTTAAGTACAAAAATTATACCAGGAACTGTATAAGAAGCACAGTAAGACATTTCCTGCCTCTATATTTATTTATTACTTATAACATGGATCCCGGGGCCTATTAAACATTCTTTTAATCTAAAAAATGAAAGTGGTCACATTTTGAGCTTCCGGGAAGAAGTGAGTCTCAGGAGGAATTTGAAAGAAGAAGAGCAGAGATCTGTTTAAGTGCATTTCAGAATTCATAAAAGCTGACAGACATATTGAAACCTTCTACTCTGGCCAAATGACAAAATATAGCACAGGACAGTGACAGTTGCAAGCTTCCTTATGCTGCTCTACCAAAATGTCTCCAGTTGTATTTAGACAAGATGATCTCTTAAAGGCAAAAGAGTAGTTCAGTCTCCATGGCCTGTCAATCAATTATCAGTTTTTGTGCTGATAATACCAATTTGGCGCTCCCTGTGATATGGACACCTATCCCATAGGATTTAGACCTGGAAAGAGAATATTAACTAATGTCACAAACACCATTTAAGTAGCACGCAGACAGTATCACTTTCAGAGACTACTGGAATGAACTAGGGATGTAAAAATAAAATTTTTTAAAAAAAAACCCCAACAGCACTAACCATGTAACCAACTGAAATTCAATCAGTTACATGGTTAAACATTCTGTGAACTGCTGATCCCATGGACTCCCGACGGGTGCTGAACCTGTGAATTGCTAACGCACCAGATCTGTGGGCTCCCAGCAGTGGCTGGGAGTTTTTCCTGGCAAGGTTAACCGATAAGCTAATGTTTATCAGTTAATCAGTTCAACTCTTACATCCCTAGAATGAAACACATGTGGATCCCTTACAGAGAAGAAAAGAGCCATAGTCTACGAGAATCACTCATGTCATTCCAAATTGATTTCTCCTGTTTTAATAGAAATATATGTGTTTTAGCTACATATACTTCAGGGTAAAGCAAAACACAGAATTCTCATATTAGTGGAGTAACATAGTAAATAGTTTGATAGTAGTATATAAAAAATAGCAGCCTTTGTTGTTCCCATTTAATATAATAGGTGATTAAACGAAGCGAAGTATCAACAGTGCATTACAAATTAAATCATCGCAGCTAGTAGCACGATACAGCTCTTCTGCTTTCAGGATCCATGAAGGGAATTCTGAATGCAAATAATCATGTTGTTATGGTCAAATCTTTATTTATATACAGATATATGGTGCTTTAAATGCACACACAGCAGCATTACTTGAAAAGTTATACTGGGGTAATGTTAATGATCTAATTGACAACAATATTTCTCAAGTAGCGCCTGCAGTTTCAAACTGACCATAGTAAAATTAGAACAGGAAGATAAGTGGAATAAATTTGTCTGATATTTGCTAGCATTTCCTACATTAAGAAAAATAATTCCTTCCTGGGGAGATGGAATAAAAGCAACTGAGGCTAGCTGCTGCTTTTTTTTCTCTCTCTCTTCCCCTTGCTATAGACCCTGACTACACCAACTGACAGTATCAATTAAATGGACATTTTAAGCAACAGGACATCAGCAATCTATTCCTAGCACATTCCATCTGTGGATGTCACACTTGTGTTGAATCTAAACCAGCCTTCTGAACATTCACTATATATTTTAGTTTATAATCTGTACAGTAGCTTCATATGGACTTAATGTCTGCATTAAGCCTTAAACTTGAAAGTGATGTCTCCACTGTATCTGTCATGCTCATTTTCCTTTCTTTAATTAACATCTGAATTTATTTTGCATCAACTGCTTTCTACAACCAAATCTCTCTAAAGAGCTTCAGCAGAGGATATATAAATGAGCAAATACATGACAATGGCATATAGCTTTTTAATCAGCCAAAGACTGGAGTGATCATATTACTCAATGAAGCAGACATATAAATGACTCATGCAAGTTATCCCATAAAAATAACTCTTTTCACACACTACCACTCCACATATCCTATAAATTATATACCATTTTAGAATGGTTTCTGAGTCTTTAAAGTAGTTGTTGATTATTTTGTATTTTTCACCTTAAAGCTCAGCTTTCTTTATACTATGAGTAAAACTGCACAGATCTGAAAGGCGTAAAAGTTAATTTTTAATATTTCTAAAAATAGCTCCTCAATACATAAAACCACTATGACTTAAATCTGACATACTGGGTCCTTCTGGGGCTATTTGCAAGTGCTGAATTTGCCCGCTTTTGGAATGCTGGAAACTATCTTGTTCTCTGGTGTAAAAGTCCCATTTCCAGCTCTGCAGTCATGAAATAGTTTGATTCCTGGAAGTTCTTGACTTGTACAAAACAATTCCCTATTTCTTAGTCCCTTTCCCCGTCCTTAAATGTTTCTCAAAGCACTGAAAAGGAAAGGTCTCATGTAAACATCCATGAGTTAGATTAGATCTAGTTAGATCAAATAACAATGGTAGTGAACCCATGGCAGCAGAGGCTAGTCACAAAAATAGGCTTGCAAAGCCCATACAGCCATGGCTTCACTGCCATTATTAATTATTATTGTTATTAATCATTATCATAGCTACTAGATCAAAGATACCCCAAGGGCTTGTTTATATGGTCAGTTAGTACACTGTATTTCAGCATATAAAGCTTTCACATGCCAACTGGCCGTGTGGACCCGTTTACCATGTAAACATGAACACTTAATCACTGATGCTTCAAAAACCCACCCACCTTAATCTGGGACAATTGTACACAATATATATGTTGTTAACCGCATGAATCGACATTTGCATTTCCTCATACTCCAAGCTTGACCCCAGATGTGCAGTGCCTTCCTTTTTATCTTGTATCTTATAAACTATTTTTGAAACATTCACTTTAATAAAGTCTTTTAAATTCTGTAGTGTACTTTGGCACAGGCTTGCTGCTCACAAATGGTGTACATAAGTCCTTAGACTGCAAGTTTCCTGGAGCAGGCCTGTTTCTTCTTGAAAGCCTAGAAAAATATCTAGATCATCATGTTCATGACAATAAACAACAACTCTGGTGTCTGAGCTATGACATAGGTTCTTTAAGGAGTTTTGCATAGCTTTGTTGTGATACAACTTTGTCAATTTCAAACTTTTCTGACTGCCATCAAGAAATTCCTCTTATTTTGATGTAAACTGAAAAACAAGTTTTTAGATCCATCTAATCTCCCCTATTTTAGCCATGTAGCTAAAATGTAGCTTTAAAATGTAAAGTAATGTGCCTCAGTGTACTTCGCCAGCCATCCTTACAGAAAGCAAAAAGGATCTTTACCTTACCATTGGTAAAGGTGCACCAGCCACAATATTGTGTCAAAAGCTGATTCCAAGGCAGGGAGAGAGTCTTATTATTACGTTTTAAGTTTTAAAAATTAGTATTGTGAAATAAGTAAAAGGGCATGATGGTTTTTTAAATTGTAATTTGATGGCCTTGTTCAAATGTGCATATTGCTTTTCTGTAACAAAGGCTGTTTCTCTGTAACAAAGAAATCAACCTTGTTATGTGTGAGAAAGCGAGGAATGTATGAGTGATAAATATGAAGGCCAAATGTTTTAGGAAGAAGCTGAGAACACACATAAAGATGTTGAAGATTGCTGGATATCCCCAACGAGATATAAGCAGAGGGCAAATCAACAGCTCTGAAAGAAGGCAAACATTTATCAATTGGGACAAAATATTTGTGATCAAAATCAGCTTAGCATGACAAAACAAAGAAGATAAGAAGCAAGAGAAACAACTAGAAATAACAAACATTCAGCAAAAAAGCAGCATGATGATGCATAACATAATGATTCCAATGGGAAAGAACTATTGTAAAAAGAGAACTGTTTTGCCTTAAGAGTGGGGAAGTCCTGCCTTGACTGGAACATCAGTCCAGACCGATAGACCCCTGCTCCTCTGCCCATGATCAATCCACAGATCGTGGACTGGTAAATATAACATTGACTGGTGGGACAGTGGAAGTGTGTGTTTATGCCTGTCTATGTAAACATGTGCTAACCACTTTGCCATTGTATTCTCAATAAACACGGTGTATTGCCTTTTCCCCCAATAAGATCCTGTGTGCTTCTTATAAGCATAAGATCATTGGTTTACTTCACTGGTCTCCTATAAAATCAGATAGCACCTATTAAATACAGCAAAACTGATCAATTTTTATCTGTATAGTTCTAATTGGGGTTTGTTGACGGAGAGAATATAAAGCAGCAGAAGATGGTGTCTTGGAGACTTGCAATACCATAAAGAAATCCAATATTTAAACTATGCTCTTGCTTTGGTAAAGAGTTCTACAAAATATGAAATATCAAATCTATGCAGACGTCATGGTCTGAACTGCATGAATGTTGTTTCCTCAAGCTCAAGCAATCTAGTGAGATTTCTATTTTCAGAGATGACTTGTATTTTCTACACCAATCTGATATTAAAGAACTAGAATTCAGCAAATTGTAGGGCAAAACATACAGCCAAAAATCCTCATTAATATTTCTTTAAAATAAAGCCTTATTCTCACAACATTTTAACAATTTTATAGACTGGAAGTCTAAAAAATAACTTCTTTTATTTGTGTCAGCTGATGTTTCATTTAATTGCATTTTGAAAATACTTGTTTATTTTAATACATTTTAATGGATTTGAAAAGCTACAAAATCTGAAAAATGTATCAAGTTGGACAGTCCTAGTTCTGCTACCCCCTGGATTTTTATATATATATTAGAATTTCAAGTTATTCTAAAGCACCAAACAGATTTGGTTTGAGAATATCTACTTACCTTTGCTAAATACAATATTGTATCTACCATGTCTTGTTGCTTGAGAGCTGATTTAAATTGTTTTTCTGCTTCACGGTACAATCCTAACCTAACAGATAATAGATACATACAGAAGGTTCTTTATTCAACAATAATATAACTTATTCAAACAATAGTAATAGAAATGTAGCTGTGTTAGTCTGGTGTAGCTGAAACAAAATACAGGACTATGTAACACTTTAAAGACTAACAAGATGGTTTATTAGATGATGAGCTTTCGTGGGCCAGACCCACTTCCTCAGATCAAGTAGTGAAGAAAATAGTCACAACCATATATACCAACGAGCTCATCATCTAATAAACCATCTTGTTAGTCTTTAAAGTGCTACATAGTCCTGTATTTTTATTCAAACAAAGAACTCTCAACTAAAAACAAAAAGACCTTAAAGTGCCAAAACTAACGTGTGTGTTTAAAAAATTATGCATGTCCACGCTCCTGCTAAAAGAAAATCCAAGTTCAAAAGGAAATGCCAGAATTGCCCTTGTAACCTTAATTTAGGCCCCTTGTGCATAGGCACTAACAATCTTTTCATCACATACTTCTCTTCCCCACCCCCCACTAGACTCCTGCCTCATTCAGTACACAGGACGGATCTACTCAGAGAGCAAATCAGGGTTATGTGATGAAAGGGACCTGTCTCTAGGACCCCAACCTTCATTTATTCCAAAAGCTGGAATATATATTGTGAATGAGCTGGGGACAGTAGGAAGAGGGAGTGCAGTGGTCAATTGCGGAAGAACTTTGTACGTGCTAGTTTAGGGGTGGTGAGGCCTGCATTCTTTCCCCCTCCCACCTTTCCCTATATCTGATGAGCCAGAAGCAAGTCTTTGGGAATGAATTGTAGATAAGGGCGAGAACGCATAAACAATTCTGTTTACCCTAATGTACTGATCACATAAACAGGGCCAAAGAACAAGTAGATCCAGAACAGAACCAGATCGATAACTAACAGCTAAGCTCTACATCAGCACGTAATAAATAACCCCTGGAAATTTCCAAACTGCACAACAAGGCAGGAAAACTATATTTAAGGCTGCCTCAGAGCCTAGCAAATCGAACCTCACCGATGAGCTTTGGATACCGGAGCCTCGGAAGCTGAAACAACCTCTCACTTCGACCGCAGCATACCCGGGGTTCCAGGCTTGCAGGAAGGGACATAAAATATGCCGCTTCTTTGTTATGTTGTTCTTCCATTTATGGGGCACAGCTGTTAGCTGTCAGGAAATAAACTACTTGTGTTTGACAGAGACCTGTGTGGCGTATTTTGTTCTTTGGGAACCCAGTGTCGGACCTTAGACTTACTCTGGCCGGCTACAGTGAGAATGATTTCATCATTAAGGTAGTCAAATTCTGCCTAGGAAAATGGGTTTTCTCTCTATCTCTGTCACAGAATCCCTCTATATTAGGCAAGGCACTTAAACCAAACTTTTCTGAGATAGTGACTATGTACTCCTAATTTTCTGTAGGAAAGTCTCACTGGAGAAGTGATGAGCAGTCACAAATACAACAGAAGCCAACAGGTCCTGAGCGCTGATCATATAAAGTGACGTATCATGAAATCTCGGGTCCGAGGTGTCTCAGATTGGGCAGTGAAAATTTGTGGATCCTTTTGATTTTAATGTGTGTTCAGTCCCTCGTCTGTAAGATGGGGATAATATCCTTCATCTCACAGGTTGTAGTGAAAATAAATTCACTCATGTTTGTGACACACTCAAAATTTGACAGTCAAATGTCTGACAAACTTTCAATTAGAAATTTGAAATATAATTCTGGAACTTCCCCAGAAAAGTTCTGCAGCTAAGAGATATGATTAAGTTAGCCCATTTTTGTGGAAGGAGAATACATTTAAAATTTGGCTAAGTTATAAGTGACTGGAAACATGGCTCCATAGGAGGAAGTCTTGGGCAACCTTAATAATAGGCGTTATCAACCCTGCATATAATTATGATAAATACAAGGAGGAAACTCCAGTGTTCAAAATGTAGCAGTCTTGACATCATCTCAGATTGTAGGGCAGGGTCTGCTCATTTATTCACCAATACACCCAAACTGTAGTCTTCCTCATTAATTGAATATATATTTGTACTAGTTAGCCTCCTTACTTGAAAAATAAACTATTTTATCCCGTTTTATCTAAATTATGAATAAAGTTTAAACCCTGCTCCATCAGAAAATGCCTATTTGTCTAATTCAAAAAGTTTTCCAGAAATGGACTGGATTCAGTGAATTTCAGGAGATATGCATGCAGGTTTCAGGCCAGCTCACTTTGCGGACTGCTGGGAACATGACTTCCAGTATTGATGGCTCCATTGCAACCACACCATATAGGCTATCTTAGTCTATCTAGATTTCACATATTCTTTGCCATGAAACCAGGAGCCTGGATGTGCATCAGCTATCGCAGGGTTTGCTTCCCTAATACTCCTGTTTCAGCTGTGTCAGTCAGGGCTTCTAGGTTCCCAGCTTCACTTGGAGTTCATTGGGTGTTCCCAGGATCAATTTTGTTTCAAAGTATTCTAAATAAAACACTTTATTTCAAAATATTTGTCCATATCTATTAATTATATTGACATCCCTTAACTACTTACTCTTTGAACACCTCTTAGTACTACACAATTTGACCTTGAAGCTTAGGAAATACTGTACAATTACAAGAAACTAAAGTTGATTGTGACCTAAGGAACACTAATCACCAAAGAATAGAATAAATGACTTACCTATAGTAGCATTTCCCAATTTGAACTTTCCACCACCAGTCCTTGTACTGTGCATGCTCTGTAGCAAGTGCTGCCAGATCTAAAGCCTCAAAAATATACACAGACACACACCCGCATCTTAAAACTAGCATTTCCAGATTTCAAGAAAGAATACTAAGAAAAAATACAAACAGTAAAGAACAGCAAAATACAAAAACAAAATACTTTGGTACATACAGACATTTTTATATATAGACTATGGGAGGACTACTGCCTTATTTCTAATAAGTCTGAAACATTATAATGTTTGAAAGGATTATAACAGGATGTAATTATGCATTCTTTTTAAGTTATAGATAATGTAAAAGAGGAACTAGGGATGAAATTGTTAAAAGGGATTTCATAAGTCTAAGAATGTCATGTTTCCCATCTTAAAACTTTTTTTTTTAAGAAAAACTGACAAAGTAGTTTTGCTTGAGATAATGTACAAATTATCTTGGTTTTGGTGATATCCACTGGGATCACTTGAGTACAGTGCACTTCTTCCAAATGTGTACAGTGGCAAATAGTGCTGTTTCCCATAAAACAGGAAAAGAGTACAGGAGAAAAAATAGGAAGGCTTCTCTCCCTCCTAATTCTTCACAACCAGGAATGTTTGAAAAGTAGGTATGCTATTCAGCACACTTTGCTTGTAACTGTTAAAAGGGTCATATATTTCCATAGATTTAAAATCAGAAAGAAGCTCCAGTTTCTTTTTTTCTTTAATTTCTGATTCCAGATCATAGCATGTTATACTGACAGAATCACATCTGCATTATATTGAAAGGCTACAAAACATACAAGCTGCCAAATTGTTTGAAATCCCATTTTCCATTGTAACGTAAGATGCTGGAGTAAAAGCTACACTTCTATTATAGTAGTAGCAACAGAAATAGCCTACAAAGCTCTTAAATACAATGTTATGAAAATATACGTATATAAATATTTTCTATATTTTCCATTTTTCTCTGATTCAGAATTGACTTGATTTCTTCATAACAATTTCATAGAACCACAAAAAATCAGAAATGGAAGTCTCCCATTATATAACTAACCCAGGGCAGTGGAGAATTGTTCCCTTATGTATGAGTGCATGTGTGTGTGGTGTTTTGTTGTTCTTTTTACCATAAACTAGTAAAGCTCTTGTGTATACAACAAAGAAAAAACTGGTATCTGTATACAGTCTTTGAAATGCCAATAGTAGATTGACCAAGTGTTTCTGGGTTTTTATTCCCAGGTGCTTGCTCTTGCAGCTAGCACAATTAGGACTGCTTTAAAGGCAAATTTCCAGATGGTGTAAAATTGCCACAGCTGCATTGACTTAAACAAAGATACAATTCACACATGCTGAGGGCCTGTCCCAGCACATTCAATTCTTAGAAAGAAAGACTTGCTTTATGTAACCCTCCAGACAACTAAGGAAACATATTGATCAAATCCTATTCTACAAATCCTGGAATTTTTAATCTCATTAGTGCTCTGCATGGATCTACCTGTTTCAGAGTTCATTTCAGAATCAGGACTCAATTTCAAACCAATGTGAATGATATTGCCCACAAGTTATACCAATGTAAATAAATAAAGTTCCCTAAATAAAGCCACTTTAATTGAGGGCGGGAGGAACAGATATACAATTTTGGAAGGCAGTTAATTTGTGTATATTGGCATACATAAATGCCAAATTACATGCCTGCTCACAGTGTATTTGAAATAGATATTACAATGAGAAAAGGCCAAAATGCAATCAATGAATGTGAAGAGAACTATCCTGAGGGCATTTTGATAACAAACACAGCAGCTACAAAGGATGTTAATGTTCTTTGCCTTAATAAAATAAAACCTCTGCAGTTACAAAAATAGAATATACTGTGCTTTCCTTCATCCACCCAGTGTGTGTTTGCTTGGTGTTGGCAAATACCAACGCAACATGGATTACTACCAGTACACAGTACATTTGCTGCTATTCCTTAAAACAAATTGTAATGAGTACATCACTAACCTTTCAAGCATGTCAGACTCTGGTGTAACACTCTTTGGTAGAAATGAGCTCAGCAGAAGATGAACAATTTCTGAGCAAGGTTTTTAAAATGCCCCAGTGCCACTGACATTTAGCCCACAGTGTTTAGCACACAAAATGAAAATGAAGAACAGTTCAGTGTCTAAAGAGGTCAGTTAGGCATGCCTACACTAAGAAATTATTTCAAAATTAGGCTATGTCTACACTGCAGAGCTACCTTGACTTAGAGCCCCAGGAAGCACTGAGAGGTAATCAGTTCAAATTACTCTAGGGAGTAGTTATTTTTAAATAACTGCATCTGAGTATCCACAATAAGGCTGAGTATCAAATAGTTATTTTGAAATTAGTGTTATTCCTCAAGGAAAGCAGGAGTACAGATTTTGAAATAATGGGGTTGGTATTGTGGACGCTTCGGTTATAAAGTCAACTTAAGGGGGGTTATCATATATATAGTAGCCCAATGTCTGTGAATCTGTAACGTCAAAATACTGGTTGTTCTGGGCAGCGCTGTTGCCTGAAATGCTGGCTGTTCCCTCTGAGCAGCCTGTGCTGCATGGGGAGTGCGGGGCCCAAACGGCCGCTTGCTCCCCTGCGGCAGCCTGGCTGAGTGGCGCAGAAGTCAGCCAAACACCATGGCAGGAGGCGAAGGAGGGCAGGGTGGTGATGTGCGCTGTGACAGTGGCTCCAGGCCCTGCCCCCTGGCTGTGAATGTCACCGCCCTGCCCCCCTTCACCTCCTGCCGTGGTGCTCGGCTGACTTCTGCGCTGCTCAGCCAGACCGCCGCGTGAGAGCAAGTGGTGCAAACGACCGTTTGGGCTCTGCGCTCCTCATGCAGCACGGGGAGTGCGGAGCCCAAACAGTTGTTTGGGCTCCGCTGTCCTCTGACTGAGAGGCAGGAGGGGGAGGAGAAGACTGACATGGAGGAGAGACCTGAAAATCCCGTCTTATGACGGGCTAATTGGCTAGTCATATATATAGTAGCCCAATGTCTGTGAGTCTGTAACGCTGAAATGCTAGCTGTTCCCTCTGGGCTGCTCTGTTGCCTGAAATGCTGGATGTTCCCTCTGGGCGGCACTGTTGCTGAAATGCTGGCTGTTCCCTCTGGGCGTCCCATGCTGCATGGGGAGTGCGGGGCCCAAATGGCCGCTTGCGCCACTTGCTCCCCTGCGGTGGCCCAGCTGAGCAGCACAGAAGTCACCCAAGCGCCACGGCAGCAGGGGAAGGGGGTGGGGCGGGGCAGTGACGTACATGGCCAGGGGGCAGGGACCGGCCGCGGCTCCAGGCCCTGCCCCCTGGCCATGAACATCACCGCCCCGCCCCCCTTCGTCTCCCGCCATGGCACTCAGCTGACTTCTGCGCTGCTCAGCCAGGCCATCGCGTGGGAGCAAGTGGCGCAAGCGACTGTTTGGGCTCCACACCTCTCATGCAGCATGGGGAGTGCGGTGCCCAAATGGCCATTTGGGCTCTGCGGTCACCTGAGTGAGAGGCAGAAGAGAAAGAGAGATACAGAGAGAGAAGCAGGAAACAGAGAAGAGCTGATAGAGAGAGAGTGGGGGAGGCAGGAGGAGGAGGAGAGTGAGGGAGAGAGACGGAGCGAGAGACCTGAGGTGCAGCAGAGAAGACCGACGTGGAGGAGAGACCTTAAAATCCGTCTTATGACGGACTAATTGGCTAGTTTCAAAATAACACCCTAGTGTAGACCAAGCCTTATTGATTAATCATCTCCAAAGGAAATCAGAATGAATAACAATAACGGAGGAATAATTTCCACTGAGAAAAGGCATTCATTTTTCCTTACATAAAGTAAAGGGATACTGGATGCATTTTTTAAAAAGTATTAAATACCATATTAAAGAAATATTGTGCTTTACCTCATTCCTATCTCAAAAAGTGGTAGAGTTGGTGGATTTTTGATGCATTTACTATTGGTACAGATAGAATATGTTATATTGTGCATATTTGTCAAATATGCATACAATGTACAATGGTATTCCTTAATTGAAATTGATAAGAAACTCAACAGAACATAAAGGAGTGTCTGAGAACAAAATGGAGATGAAAAAATGATTAAAGCTCATTTATTAAAATTATATTACAGAAGAAAACAGCACATATCCCTCAAGAGGAGCAAAATAAAGCCAAGGAAGGTCCCCTTTCTCTACTAACACTTTTACATCTTTTTGTAAATAAACCCAGCACTGATGGGGTTAAGATGCCTCAGAAGAAGCCAATTAACCAAATAGGTTGCAGCTTGGGGAGAGCCAGAGACTGATAAAAGGCTGATTGATGATAAAACCCAGCTGGGCAAAGGCAGGCTGAGCTCATATAAAGCCAAGAAGTTTACAACAGAAAAGGGCTGTAGGGAGGGAGGGAGTGAACTCAGCTTGGCTGGAGGAGACCCAAGAAGGGGACCTTTCAGAAAGAGTTCACTCAGAGGAGTGGCAGAATGAAAGCCTATGGAATGCAAAGTAGGAAGAAGCCCAAGGAAATAGTATCAAAGGCAGAGATTGTGTAAAATTTAGCTGCTGATTACAGAGTAACTGGGCTAAAATCCAGAGTAGCAGGCAGGCCTGGGTTCTCCTACCAACTACTGAGAAGGCAGCATGGACTTGGAATTGGCACAAGGGACTGCCTGAAATAGCATCTTGACAGACTATCCAGAGGGATTTTGATACCCTGGAAAGAGAAAACTAAATAGTGACCTAGATAGAGGCAAAGTCATGAAGAGAGAACACCCTGAGACCTCGAAAGCAAGAGGGCCACAGGGCAAGTGAGCAAGAGCAGAAGGTGCTAGACTGGATAAGAACTGATCACCATGCCCAACCAGAAGAAGGTGCCCCAACAATGAATAAAACTCTGCCTTTACAACAAGGGACCCTGTGGTGGGAGGCAATGACTCAAAAATATTTGGGTATTAGGGTGGATAATCAGCTGAATATGAGTTCCCAGTGAGACACTGTAGTCAAAAGGGCTAATGTGGCTATTTGATGGACAAACAGAGGAATCTTGAGTAGTGAGGCTATATTAACTCTGTATTTGGCAACTACGTGATGGTTGCTGGAATACCGTGTCCAGTTCTGATGTCAACAATTCAAGATGTTGATGAATAGGAGGGGGTTCAGAGAAGGTTACAAGATTGTTGCTGTAAGGCTTGTTTGTAAGATCTGTAATCAGACACAAAGAGTTCAATCTGTCAGCTCAACAAACAGAAGTTTAAGGGATGACTTGATTATAATCTCTAGTTACCTACATAGAGAACATGTATTTGATAATGGGCTAGCTAAGTAACATGATCCAATCACTGGATCTGGAAGCTGGACAGATTCATACAAGAAATATGGTATAAATTTGTAACATAGTAATGAACTTTTGGAACAATTTAGTAAGGACCGTGGTGGACTCTCCATCATGGGTAATTTTAAAATCAAGGCCTTTTTCTGCCCTAGAAAATAAGCTCTAGGAATTATTTTGAGAAAGTTCTATGACCTGGGGTTTTTAAAAATAAGACTACATCTCAACATTCCCTTGTGGCCTTTCACTTAATTTATGAAATCTTGGAAGCCAACTGAAGTTTCAGATTTAGTTCAGCTGGTACCTGTAGACAAGATGCAGAGCAAGTCTGTTCTTTCCCTTTCCACATCCAGGAATAGGTCTGCAGTCCAGTTTTCCCTGACTTGAGTGTATAGCCAATTACAGGAAATGCTCCTCCTTGTCCATTGATGCTGAAAACTTGCTTGGACAGTGGCTCTTCAAGCTTGCTTGTTGTCTTCTTCTCCCACCCAGAGGATAGTGTCTTAGGTCTTGGAACCAATAGCCTCCACCCTTTTCAAAAAAGTCATCTTAGGCTGCCAGGATACCCCTGCCTTCCACTGCTGGATGACCAAGTGATAAAGAGTACCCAGCTCAAGGAGAGGCAGGTGGGTGACTGAGTGAGATGAACAGGTGAATAAGGGGTAAATTTATTTGATTGTAAGGAAAGAGTTGGATTCTTTGTTTGCGGATTTTTAACTGAGATGAATTAATGGGAGAACTTGGTAGGGTGTTTGAGAAGAAGGGAGAGACCATTAGGAGAGGGTGAAATGAAATATGAAGTAATAAAAGCATAAAGAGAAGGGAGATGGAAATGGAAGTGCATGAGAAGAAACACCGCAAATAAGAGGAAAAGAGGAGGAGCAAATGAAAGGAAGATAAAGAACAGAATATTAAACTGTTAAAATTTAGATATTTTAAAATATAGTACCACAAGTCCAACCACCACTGTAAACTGAGCCATAAAAGTATTTCATATGAGAGCTTAGAAAGTAAAGATACAACCAGTTACTGAGATATCTGTGTCAAAACTGAAATGTTCCTGGATCCTCTAGGGACTCCAAAATACTACTTCTACAAGATTTCTGAAATTTACTGGGCTACTCAGAACATATTGCCTGGGCTCTATGAAGCTGCCTATCCAGCTCTGGAGATTCTGCTGTTAATACCACTGAAACAGTTTACTGATATATTTTCACTTTCATTTGGTATTAATTTCATACCATGCCATGCAAGCCCTTTGTCACTGATGGACTAGAGTTCCTGTCAGCAAACAAGATTCGGTTTCATCATTGTTGGCATCATAAAAATCCCACTTCCTTCATGTCAAAGTAGATTAGAAGTAATTAACAGGTTACACATTCTGTTTCTTTCTTTCAGATGTTTACACTTGATGGTAATATTTTGGATACTAGTATACTGAAATTCAATCATGTCAACAGAGCCCTGTGCAATCAAACTGGCAGACAGCATATGACCGACATAATTTAGTGCCAGATTAAACAATTCATAGCATTTAATCTGAAAACAATTCTGATTTACATCAACACAAACCATGTGTTTTCTGATAATTATTACTTAGCTAGTTGAAAACAGCCAAAATAGCACCACAGAATTTAACTTTATCTTTAGTCCCTTGAATGCAGTCCCTGCTCAACACATCTTTAGGTGGTGCAGAAAACCAGTAAGTGCTTAGTGAGCCAAATAAAATTGATCTGAGTGTCTTGTGCTTGGGGTAAAAAATGTTTTACCAAATACCATCATGATGAATGTGCCAGAAATACTTTGTGTGTGGCGATAAGCTGTATGTTACTCATCCAATAAAACACACTTCACCTATGTGAGCTTGTAAGACAGGCTTGCATGTAACTTTTGAATAATTAAACAAAAGATATACACATTTAACTGAGACTGTTCAATACATTATAAAACTGTGGTTATGCCTACACTTGGATATAAAAGTGTGATTCACAGCACACACAGATTTGCTCAAGGTAGCTCTGCCAGTACTTTACCTGATTTTAAATTCAATCCGTTATTACTAATTACATTATTATTCCATAAACTATCCCAAACTATTCTCCCTCACTCGCAGTCTGCATCAACACTTCTTGGGTGGGTATATCTACACTAGCTTGAGCTAGTGCACTAAAAATAGAAGTGTAGTTGGGGTCACATGGAGAGTGCTGCTTGGGCTAGTTGCCTAAGTACATACTTAGGGACTCCAGGCAGGTATATAGTAGAGGCAGCTTGCCTGAGCTGCCCATTGTGCTATTATAGCTGCCAATTGTGCTACCTTAGCTATACTATTATTTTTAGTGTGCCAGCTCTGCTTGAAGTAGTGCAGGTAAATCTATACAATCCAGAAATCAAGTGCAGACTAAGAGAGGGAGAGAATTGTTTGGGACAGTATATGGGATAATGCTTTATTAGTAATAATGGATTGAATTTAACACCGGGTAAAGTACTGTACAAAGTTTATCCCAGTATTCAGTCTAACAAGCAAATCTATAGTTTCTGAGATATTCTACACAAGGAAAAGGTTAGAAGTGTCACCACTGATTATATTTAAAACAAGCCTGAATACACTGTATGGAACAAATTTTACACATAGGAGAATGAACTGTATGATATAACAGTCGGAGCCAGGGTACTTTTCACCACAGTGGAGCGTAAGTCTGCAGCAGTGTTAATTAATGCAGTAATGCTGATGTATCAAGCATTCATATATTTCCATGAGGGATCCCTCCCACAGCAACCAACTATGATACTATGGTTAAGAATACTAACTGAAGTACAGTTTGTCAGTGATTGTTTGGACTAGCTCTATGGGCTTTAGCAATTTCAATCATGTTTGGGCACTACCATTCA